CACAAAAGACGAAGATGAGAGAGTATTAGTAAGAAATGAGGCCGATATGTAGCGAGGCACACCGATGTGGTCGTAAACTGTGGCTGGTGTCGTGTGGCGTAGACAGCCGGTTCGAGGGTTTTCGATTGCCGCGGAAAAACGGTCGTGTGTCTGCTGTCTTGTGGCGCGTCTGAGTAGTGGACAGTAAGCAGTGTGTGCGCGAGGGGGCAGTGTGGTCGGCTATTGGTTCGTCTCACAACGAGGCTGCTATAGGTGCGTGTCTGGTTCGAGCGAGTGTATGATGGATAAGCGCTGTGAGGTTCAGTGGTAGTTGTTGTGAACACGGCGCGAGTCGATGTGGCGTTTGTAGATGACTGTTGTGCATTACAGAATTGTTCGCGTACCTCGCTCGCAACGTGTGTGGTCTCGTAAGTGGCGTGGTGTGTGACGGCGTGCGGGGGGTGCTTGGCGTTGTTCGCACGCGTGGCGTGCGGCACGTGATTGGCGTGCGTGGTAGCGTGTAGTGTGTCGGGGCGTGTGGCGCTGACCGGGCGCCGCGGTTGTGACTTCTCCTTCCGCGACGACGGCAGCGCTGCGGGGCGCCGCGTTTCTCAGGCCTCGCGGGGCGGAAGCGATTTGCGAATTTATTCGCAATAAGCGCAGCGATATGTGTGTAATTGGGAACCGAATGTGAAATAAGGAGGCGGAATATCGCCTTTGAGCGCGCCCTAGTCGGCGCCGAGGCGAAACAGGGAGTGGTGAGGGAGGCAGGGTGTGGGGCGGGGCCGGGGCGGGAAGGGGACGGGTTTGTGGAGAGGGTCGGGGCGGGGGGCGGGGCGGGGGCGGGAAGGGAAGGGGTGGGTGGGGAGGGGAGAGAGACCGGCGGAAGCGAAGGGTTTGAGGTGGTGGTGCGCTGGAAGCCAGGATCTGGAAGAAAATGGCCGGAGGAAGGCCACCTGAGACGGGAAGCTGGGGGGCTGGGCTGGTGACGGAAGAAAGATGGGTGGTAGAGGTGAGGCGGAATTTACAGTAAGAAATGTAAGTCAGGAAATTGTGAATATTACAGTCAAAAGTAAAGATAAAGCTGCGTGAAGTTAGAAAAGACAATATTTATTATGTAATGTGGCTGAGGGGACAATAATTGCAGTGCGAAATAAAAACTTCATAGTGGAGGACGTATGTAAATGGACGTAATCGTGCACGGGAAGGAGAAGTCTATCAAAATAATTTTCTCGAAAACCAAGAACAAAACCGGCCTAAAGAATAACTTTAAGTAAATCATCATGATTCCGATGAACATGTGTTGATGGACAACGATAAATGATTGTGTTTCAGCAAACGCTAGACGAGCGGATTCCAAAAAAAAGTGCCGATTTCGGTGATTTGTTACTCATGTAATGGAATATCATGTATAGCAGCAATCTCTTTCCTATCGAGACATTTTATCCGTAAATGTATAAGAAGACGAAATCAATTTGTTAAGATGTTACAAAAGAACAAGGATGTGTTTACTTTTTTCTATATCTTGTTAAAACTTTATACAACGCTGCAAGTAATCGATACCGAGAGATTAATGTAAATAAGAGGTTTTGGGGCTCTTGCACTGAAAAATTGATTTTTCCCAATATATGTTTATAAGTTTCTCAGTATGTTCTTAAGGGTATGAATAATTCCAATACTTAAATCACATGTAAGATTTTCTTAACAAAGTCTTAATCGATATTCACCACTATCAGGTCTTCCAAATTTAAAATGATTTTTTATTTTATTTTATGGAATACTTCGTTTCAAGAAGCTTATGGAACATTAATTTATTTTTCAAAAACATCTCATTAATTTTTTTATTCAAATTATCTGCTAAAAGTATTATAAACAGCCGAAGTATTACAAATTTGAAATATTACTATTATATTTTCACGCAACTGTGTCGGATTTTACAAGAACGTCTAGGTCATGTTGTAGCACTATTACTTGAAATTTGTTATACATTGAATATTGCAAATGTGCGGTTTTGATTGTAGAATCAGCTCTAAGGATTTCAGTCAAACGCGAAGGATCAGAAGTTTCCTTTTAAGAAAGTTCGTATAACTTTTCATATGAGGAAGTCAAGACCAAATGACTTATACATCATTGACATCAGATTTTTTTCATTTGTGGTACAAATCCCCAGCGGGCGGTTTGACTCATGGCAGCAGAAAGTACAAGCATCGTAAACTTACATGCAGGCTTCCGCATTTGCATGTTGGTGCCTACGCAAAGCGTAGTGATGTCAAAGTGACGCTCGTCTTTTTGGTTGCAGCTCAGCGTCCTCCTGGTGTTCAGGCTGGCCATGCTGCAGGGGTCGCTGCCGCGCTTCTCCAACCAGGACAACCCGGCAGCCTTCCACCCCAGCCGCCTCGTCAGGTGAGGGCAGCACTAGCGCCTGCATTGCTTCTCTGGGGGATGACCCCGAAAGACAGGAATGAAGTCAGAGCTAGGCTGTTCAGTGCATTTGAAAAGAGAATCCTTACGATTTAACGTAATACCTTCGTAAAGTGTTAGTTATGAATCTGTGATTCTCATTTCTTAAATTCCTTTTCTCTGCATGATCGCCTCAACGTGCGTTGTGAATTTTTGAAATGAAATTATTTCAGGAGGAGTGTTGAACTGCAAAAGTATTATCTCAAAAATTCATTGCATTGTTATGTATTGTACGTATTATTATCGTTTCAGGATATTGAGAATCATGACGTTTATTTTTATAAAATGAATATGAATGCACAATAGATACTATAGGCTTGTATACGTTTTGTACTTTGTTTCCTGTCCAAGGCCGTGTCTGGTTGAATGGAAACCATAGTAATTCTTTTCGATTAGTGGTTAATACTTTTTCAAATCCCAAAAATGTTTTTTTTAACTTCAGGTTTCGTTCCCTATATGCATGATCTTTCATTTTTTAACATTGCTGATCTTGAAGTCGAGAGGAAGAAATCGCTCTCTAAATTCCTTCGAAAGGTGCGACTTCTTCCTCGGGGGCTTTATGAAGCTGCCGTGGGAGCGCCGGTTGACGATAGATGTCGTCGAGAGATTAGTCGAAAGTTAAAGGTGAAAATTTCCAGAGGACTCTGTCAAGACGAACATTTGTCTCCGGATTATCGAACTATGTTCCGGGCGTCTTCCCCACTTTCTTCGGCTTGTCTCTGACTGCCCCTTCTAAGTCGTCCCCCTTTACCCGTCTTCTCTATCTGCCCCCCCTCCCACTCTCGCCCTGCGGTCCTGCCAGCTGTAGTCGAGGAAACTTCCGTCATAAACTTCGGTCCTCACATCTCGCCGGCCATCATTTTCCGTCTGTCCTGAACTTTTCAAACTTAAATCCTTTGTTATACCGCTTTTGTGGCCCGGCAGTTAGTGAAAATTCCTACCAAGATTCCAGTTTTACGTTCGCAGATTTTATAACGTTCCCCGCGGATATATTGTTTGAGCGAGTGGATACATTTACCGTCTTTTGGCCGAGCTGCTTTATAAGTGCGTGGACGTACAGGATGTGCCCGCAAAGATTGCCACAAAAATATTTTCCAAATAGTAGGATTTTCCATGACTTATAAAGTGGATTATCGTTCAGCGCATTCACCTTAAATTTTAAATTCTAACAAGATAAAATTTAGGAATGTTTTAACTTGTTCAAACGCATGAAACAATTTAATGTTGTGTTACCTCAGAACTATTCAAATGACCCGTTTTGTAGGAGAATTTAATACTTCTTTTTGCAATTAGTGTGAAATATTAAATACAGAGAATATGAATAAGATTTAAAACGAAATGATAATTATTCGATTCATTAAATATTCCTTCAAAAGGTATTTTTAAAATACAAGTACAATCAAATGAGAGAAAAGGCTAATAGGACTTATTATAGAATTGTCTCCCTTGGTAAAGAAAAAAATATGCTGTTTAATCATAACCAGCAGTACACTCTCGTCAGCTATGTTCATCCAAGATCGTTAACGCAGTAGTGACGTAGCGACTTCGGACCGAAAGATCGCTGGTTCGAATCCCGCCTTGGGCATGGTTGTATTTGTGTTCGACTTTTCATCCCCTATCATCGCCTTATTATTTCATGTTCACTTTTACCATACCGTTAAATGCAATAGTGGTCGCTAATGACCAGGTGCGACCTATGTTTATGCCATAGCATTCAGGCCTGACTCCCCATGGGCTGGGGAGACCTGTGGTAAGTTAGTCGCAACCCTTACGCCGTGTATTTGACATTTTCTTCCGGCTAGAACGCTTCACCTTGTTAATTAGCTAGGCGACTTGGGACATGATAATGATAAGCGACTTGAGGGAGATGTCGAATCCGGGTTTACAGCATGCAAATTATAGATATGATCATGGCTAATATATGTTAGGAAAATGTCCTTAGTATCTTTTTAAATTATATAATTGAACAATAAGATCGTCATTCATACAACTGAGGTAAGGAGAAACACTATATCGCATCTTCGAAATCCCGATTGCATCAACACCCCCGATTCTCCTCCAGCAAGCGCCCTCGCCGACTTGGGGCTCCTCCTGTGGCGCGAGGACGGCCGAGGGGCGGTGAGGGCGTGAGTGGGCGCCGCGCCGTCTAACGCCTTCCGCATGTGTGGGCGCCGTTAACGCAGCGCGGACTCATCTCGCCCGCGCCCCTCCTCCGCCCCGCCCCGCCCCACCCCGGCAGCTTATCGCCGCTGTGCGTGCGCGCCTCCGCTGCGGACTCCAAGTGGCAAACGAAACGGCAAAATCCGGATACTTGGAGAGGGGAGCGGCAAAGGGCGGGTGCTTTAGATTAGACGTGCTTGCAAACACGGGGAAGCTTTACGGAGAAGTCCATAAGGTATTAATCATCGAGGAAGTAGTATCTGCCGACGAGGGTGTGCGAGCAAGGCGCCATTTGCTGTAGGGAGACGTGGAAGAAGGGTGGGGGATGAAGATTCTAGTAGAAGTCGGAGTGGGAAAAGAAGAGAAGATAACAAATGACGTAATCAGGAGGAAAGATGAACATAAGGAGGGGGAGGGAATTAAAGGGTTACAGGAAAACGGCAAGATTTTGTGAACAATCATAAATATTAATAATTGTGAAAATCAGAATTCCAGTTTTACTAAAAGTATTGATTTAAAATTAGTGTAAAGTTGAGGAAACTTTTTTATTTTGGATGATTTTTTTATTTCGTCAATCAAATATTCGCAGGATTAACATGAATAGAAAAAGAATTATCTGAATAAGTAATATGTCATCTACGCTTCTGTACACAGAAAGTACTTGTCAGAGCGATATTAAGATAACAAAATTCCTCCACAGAGTAAATAGAGTATTTGGCTGCATTAAAAATATTAATCACTGATGTTTATGCGTTTTACTTGTTGAAAACGTGCATGATTAATTAGCCATTCTAGGAAATATAGGGGGTTAAACGATTACTAATGCATGTCATTATACATTTCCCATTAAAATACTCGTAGAATTTTTAAATTTTCTTTAAATTGTGCTAGCGTATACGTGGAGACAACAAGCGACAAGTAAAATAATTGTTTCAATTTAAATCAATCACTTAGTCATTTATTGGATTCGTTTCTAAATTTTCCAACTAAACAACAAAATCCTAGTTCGGTAACATTTTTTCCTTCAAAAATTGAAATACAATCTCACTCTACATATAATTATTTTCACAATATGCTCGAAACGATTACGTCTGCCTTTTCGAAACGAGTGTTCGAGTCTCATAAATCAGCATCCAGTGTTGAAGCGCTGACTCGGTGTAGAAGCACCGACCAAAAAAAAAAAAAGAAGCCTGCTCGAAGAGGAGAGCGTTTTGTGCGCACTTTAACCCCAGCGATGGCGCCGGCATTCAACTGTCCAGTTCGCAACATTTTTCCATCCAGCTAATTCCTTGGGGGCCCGGGCGCTTTCCACCTCTTCCTTTTGTAGCAAGTAGCGAAGCCGTAAAAACCAATTGCATTTTCTATTCCCTTCTATCGCGTAGAGCATCATCGATCCGAGGCAATAAATTACCAACCGATTCGTGAGGGAATTTCGAGCAATGAAGGTCCGGGGGTGGGGTGGGGGTGGGGGTGGGGAGAGGGCGAATGAGACGCTTGAGAGGACCAGCAACAAAAGTAACAAAAATATGGAGCAGAGTCCTTGTTTTTTGCTCGACTGTTCTGGCGCAAGTGGATGTACTGAGAATTGAAAAGAGTGGATAGAGTCCAGAGGACAGGTTGACATGGTTTTGTAACCGTTGTTTTAACTAGTACACCGGTGATACTTTACGATTCTTGAACGATCCACTTGCCGAAATTAAATAAAATGAAAAGGAACCAACTTGAATATAATTTTTTTCATTTTTTACACATATTGTGATTATGTATTTTAGCTCAATTAAACTTTTCATATGTATGATACCTTAATAGCTAAATTAAATTAAAACGTACAACTACTTTAATAACTAACAATAAAATATATAATCAAACTGAAACTGGATAGTTCTGGAACATAACCTTTTTGTATCGTTCACTCTCACCTACAGTGTTCATTTACTTGCACTTCAGTTGGTAATCAGTCAAATTTGAAAGTCAAATTTGCAAAACATTTTTTAAATTACATTTTGTATTTATCTTAAAAGTTCGAGTAAACTTATACTATGATAACAATAAAAGCAAATATATGTCTAGATTAAAAGCAAGATTAGATCCTAGATTAAAAGCAAATATCTTGGCGCTTTGTCGCAAGGCGCAAACCTTTTCAAAGCGTGCTTATAATTACGTGATACTCGTGTATAACTTAGTAATAATTATTTACATTTGGTGTTACTGTAGTAGCATTCAATAACGTTGATGGCCTGTAATGGGATGGCGGCCACCTGTACCTTTAGTTCTCATTATTCAGTTAAGAAATTTTAATAATAATATTAAATGAAAGTTTGAACATACGTGGATATTTAATATAATTAAATGAAAATAGACCAGGAGTATATTTATTTACAACTTTTTACTGGTGAAAAAGTTAAATTCTAGTAGTACGTATTCTCCACGCGCGTAGTGCTTCAATTTTTAAACGTTACTTATTTTGATTGATTGATTTCATAATGCCTTATCTAAATCCTATTTCTCTTTCAAATATTACAAAAAAAAACTTTGGACTTGTCTCTAACGTCGCTAATATTTACATTAGCGCCAATTTATTTTCATTAGTGTTTTTATGATTACATGTGCTTTAAATAATGTGAGATAAAGTTCCCCGAAAACTCAACAGTTTTCCGTGAAAATGTGCTCTAAATTCCGCATTTTCAGAAAGGCTCAAACGCCATTTGCTCAAAAACGGCTTCAGATTTTATTTTCAAAGTTTTCCAACAGATAATGCTAAGTGTACTGTTTAATATGACATA